CTTTTCCTCTTTCCCCCTATCCGCTTTTACCCCCGATCGCCCTCAACAATCAATCCCCCCATATTACACAGCAATCCCTCGCGAACCCCGTCGAGTCAAGCTCATTGTAAGGAAACGAAAAACGGAAAACGAAAACAGCAATTGCCTTGCCTTTCTTGCAATCAGGTCACCCAGGACATTTCTTACACTACGCAAAACACATTAGGCATACGAACAGCAATTCATTTGCTCCAATCGCTTTAAAAAAACAGCAGGCCGAAAGAAAACCGCCCAGCGGAGCAACATACACGCACAAAAGAAAGAGAACCAGACCCATCCCTGCATATGAGAGAGGATACCAAGACAATCCACCAACGAGGGGGTTAAGAAGTCCATCCATTCACAAGCCAAGGAAATTTTCATTCACAGGCCACGAGAGGGGCACAACAGGGGCGCAAAAAGTCGAGAAGACAAGCGCGGTCAGCACAAGCGCAACGCCGCCAGAAACGAGCTGCAATCCACAAAGGCAACAGACGGGAACCAGGTAAACAAGGATATGTGACGCGCGCACTGGGCAGAGACGAGACCCCAGCAGCAGACAAGATGTTACGTGGCGACCAAACACAAAACGGGACTTGAACACTCCACTTCTAGCGTGACACGCATTGACAAACAAACCCATGTGTTCATGCAGACCAGGGCAACACTTGAACACTCCACTTCTAGCGTGACACGCATTGACAAACAAACCCATGTGTTCATGCAGACCAGCGCATCGTCGAGGGCAACACACATCGAGAGACGTTCAGACCGCGGGAAGCGGCCACCGTCGGGGTTGCCACATACACGGGGGACATGAACGACGGCGATAGGTTGGTTGCTCCGCCACGCATGAACCGAGTGGAGCGGTTAGAAGCGGGAGCGCAAACAAGCGGGAGCGCACCTTACGAGCGGGAGCGCACCTTACGAGCGGGAGCGCACCTTAGAAGCGGGAGCGCAAACGAGCGGGAGCGCACCTTACGAGCGGGAGCGCAAACGACCACGTAAGGTGGGCGCAGCGAGGCAGTGCGCATCCACAACATCCCGACAAGAGTATCATACGGTGGAAAGGGACGAGTCAAGAGGCGAGAAGCAGGAAACACAGTAGGGAAGGAGGCAGAGGCCACTGCGCGCTCATGAACACAACAGGGGCGCGGGGAGCAGCGGGCTGCACACAGCACCGTGAGATGAAGCACGCACGAGGGGAAGGGCGAAAAACCAAAGAAGGTTGTGTGCAAACGCGCCGGGGCAAGTACGCATCCACGACATCATCGCGGACTGTGTATAATACGGTGGAAAGGGACGAGTCAAGAGGCGGGAAGCAGGAAACACACTAGAGGAGGCAGAGGCCACTGCGCGCTCATGAACACAACAGGGGCGCGGGGAGCAGCGGGCTGCACACATCACCGTGATGAAAGGAAACACGCTGGCGTTTACGAGACAGTGTAGTCGAGGGAAGGGTGCTCTCGTGCAGTTCATTACACAGCCGTGTTCAGTGCGCACAAAAAACGCCAAAATAGATTTGAATAAAAAACGACAAACGCTACGAGAAGCGCAAACCAACGAGCAACACCCGCGCAACGGCACGCCGAGCACTCGCGGGTGAACACTCAACCGAGTTGCAGCGAGGCTCGTGTACCAAGAACTTCCCCCACACACGGGGTGTCCCAAGCCAACCCCCCTGACCCATCCTTCTCAAACCTCCGCACGGAATGGAGAGAGTGCAAACCGCGCAAGCTAGACGAAGAGGGGCCTGCCTGTAATTGGTTAAGGGAAACATGTCACTGGTTAAGGAAACGCGAACGGTGTACCGAAGGAGATACTTTGAAGTACACAATATAAATAATTGCGGACGAACACTGAGAGGAAGGAGCGCAAAGAGCCGCTGCCGCTGTCAGATAAGGCATACGCAAAGCACAAGGGCACAAGGACGACACGCGGCATGCACACGCTCTCCCAGGGGGATGCCCACCAAAGAAACAACGAGCGGAAACAACAAAGGAGATGACGAAGGAACACGCACGAGCACAAAAAACAACAACAAGGGAACCAACACGATAAACACTACCGTCTTCCCCCGAACATAACGCACCCTCAATATGAACGTATACAAGGTATGTTTCCGGCCCGGTACAGTCAAAATGAGGCTGCGTTGTGTTCGGGGGAAGACGGTAGACCGCTGGCGAGCACTCGGCTAATTATGAAGGAAACGGGACAAAGAACAGGAACAATCGAATGCGCGCCAACGAGGCATGGAGACAGAAGAACGACAGGGAAGAGCGGCGAGAAGGAAAAAACAGCACATCAGTGGCAAGCACTTATGAGAGGGGAGAACGCAAGAAAGAGAACGCAAGAAAGAGAACGCAAGAAAGAAAATGTGACCCAGCGAAAAAGAAGCTCCTGACGAGAACTGACGACCGGTAGACTGAAAGAAAGAAAAACAAAGACAGACCCCCACGAGAACGAACGTAACCAAACATCATAGGAAGAACACCGAATAGACGGATTTCGGCGGGAAGAGCCCAGAGAACGACCTTGCGACGACACCAAAAGCAATGGAGAGCGAAGAAATGCACCTCTCTCACCAAGAAAAGACTAAGCAAATGCACATTAGAACGCAAAGGAAAGAGCGAAGAGAGGGGGGGGGGGGGGGGGGGGGGGAGGGGAGGGAACGGAGACGGTGGGTAGTGCAAGGCTCTGAGCAAAAGAGAGTGGAAACGGTATAAGCAGCAAACAAATAGCTTCCAGAGGGGGGAGATGGGGCAAACGCGGGAAGTCCATACGAGGGAGACAACATGGGTATACATGATGAGAGCCACACTAGGCGACGGGAAGGGGGCACAGAAACGGATCAATTCAAGAAAAAGAAAGAAAAGAGAGAAGAGAAAAACAAAATAGACGCAGTCGATGGGAGAAAACGAAAAAGTAAGGGAGGGAAACGAGAGAGAGAGAGGAGGGGGGGGGGGTCAAGGGGCAAAAGGAGCGCACAGGCAAGAAGAGAATAGATGATTTTACAAAATAGAAAAATGTTCCTACTTTCTTGTCAATGGAAATGCGGCCTTCGCCGCGAGGGAAATTATAGACAATAAGTTCGCCCTGATAGGAAGGTGGAAATGAAAGAGGCAGCAGCTGTTCGATGAATGGATTGAAGGATGGTTCTGATCTATTTTAAATCTTCTCTCACACTCGCTCTCTTTTCTCTCTTTCACTCGTCTCTTCTCTCTCTTCTCTCTCTTCTCTCTCTCTGAAATTCTTCTCTCTAGGATTCACAATCTACACCCAATCCGTAAAGGACACCAATGTACTTTTCCGTCGACCCATTGAAAAACCCCTCCTTGAGCTTCTTGAATGCACACGATGTTACGAGGCTATCCGACCCCGCCTGATGACAAGGGCCAATTCTCTCCACCTCCAGTGTCTCCGCCAGCCGATTGAGCCCTCCGTGCAGATTGTCGCAGAATTTCATCAAATATTTTACATCGTAGATCGTCGGGAAGTAGGTTCTCAGCAACGCGAAGAACTCCGACTCCCCGCTCGGTAGGTTCTGACATGTCAACAGCTTCAACAAATAACCGAAGTCGTAGCCGCTGTGGAAGGTTATCCAATGGATGCTATCGTTGAGCACGATTCCCGATGACATCAACAACTCGCCAAACCGTACCGAGTCGATCCCTCTCTCCTCGTTCTGCTTGAAATCTATTCCACTCTGTCTCAACAGCTCTATCGAGTCGTGAGCGTACATGTCCTCTCTCGGATTGAACTCCCTGAAGTTAAACTGCCACACGCAGAACTCGTTGGTCCCACACTGGGGCAAGTTGCCGTTCTCGTCCGCGAACGTCAGCCCCAGCTGAATCAACTTCAGCATGTCCACATTGCACCTCAAGGTCTGGTAGTGGTACTCCGCGCTCGTCTTGAACGAACCCACCGGTCTGCAAACGATTCCAGGGAACTCCGTGTCCATGGCGAGATAAGGATAGTCATCTACAATGTCCCTTATGAGTTCAAATTCATCTTCAAGATTATCGGCCCATACCTCCCGGATGTGGAGGGTGCCGCCTTTAGGGATGCACGACATCTACCGCACTTACCTACCTCCCCGCCGCTCTAGTGACAGGAGCTGCTGACAGCTGAGCGCCGCCGCCACCACTGTCCTGCGCCGCGTCAGGAAAAGCCCACAAGAAAGCCGTTCGAAGCCACCGCGACCGTCTACTAGCAGTCGGCGACCGAGCGCATGTCACCAACGACCACCCCACACTCACCGGTCGCGGACCAGCGACTACCTGCGCTCGCCTTCCTTCTTCAAAGGAGACTTCACTTCTTCTTCTGCTGCTGCCACTGCTGCTGCTGCCGTCCAGCTTCGTGAGGCAGTCATAAATCATGCCCTCCGCTACGTCGTGCGGCGGCGAGCACGCCTTTCGCCCCCCACCACCACCACCCACTTCTCTCTCCCCCCTGCGGACGCCAGAACGTCCGTCGCCCTCTTCCTTCGACACCGTATCCAACTCCCCCCCGCGCGCTCGCCTCGCGTTGCCGTGGCAATCCCCCCTTTCCAGCACTATATACCTCGCTGACCGTCTGCCTCAACCCTCCTCCCTCTCTCCACTCACCTTCCGCCTTTCCTCTTCGTTTCCAGAGCGCAAAGAAGAACGCACCCCACTCCCCTCCCCTCCCCTCCGCGCGAGATATCCCACCCTCCCTGTTCTGTACGTATGTACTCAGCCTATCCAACCAACAACACAATCTTGGCCAAGCTGCTGCTCGCTCTTGCGAGCTCTCGATCAATCAACGAGTACTTCCAAGCCGCGAGGGAAAATACCTGTTGCCCGTTCGCTCGCGCAAGAAAGCATAAGGTTGCTGCCGTCGTCTCTATCTACCCTCCAAACTACCCTCACTGCTACTGCTTTGCATGTCTACCACCTCCACCCACCTATACTGAAGCGATTCAACAAGGTCACGAGTAAAGGAGCCTCTTCTTCGGAAGGAAGAGGGCGAAGAACGCTAATAAGGGCGTGCGGCAAGCGCACGACGTCAAACAACGACGGCGACGGCGGCGACGACGCTGTTCTGACTGATGCCACAAGCGACTCGATTGTGATTTCGAGTGAGTAGTCGCTAGCTTATTTACTCAGGCAAGGTAATAGAGTAGTAGATAGATTGGAGTGGAGTACTATCACCAACAACAAGAGCGCCGGCGGCTTTCCGCGCCAGCTGCTGAAAGCAGAACTCAACCGAACGGACTGAAGCGGTCACAGATGGCCACATGGCACGTCGTGCTTTCTTCAATACAAGGACACGCCAACGAACGATTGAACAACGACTGAACGAACAAAAGGACGGCCGGGCGGACCGACGGGCGGACGGACGGGCGGGCGGGCGGACGGACGACGGACGAACCGGCTGACGGACGGACGGAGGGAGCCTTAAAACGCGCAGCTAAGGCGCGTAGACTACGACTTCCAATCCTCTTCGCGTCGACGAACCGCTGGCTATGGCGCTGGGAGAGTTCACAAACCCCTGCTGAGTGAAACAAAAGCCGCGAGTAACGGGTAGCCGCAGTTGTTCTCGCTGCCTTGCCCTCTCTCTACGTGAACCACCCGTCCACTCCCGCCTTGACCCGATTCACTCACAAATCCTCTCCCCAGCACCAGCACCAGCACCAGCAGCAGCAGCAGCAGCAGTAGTACCTCAGAGAGAGCCCCCTCCCACCCACCCATACACCCACCCACCCACTCAATCACGCTCCCTCTCTCGCAGCTCCGACTCTCTCACACTCACACACTCCAACCGGACCCGCCTCCCGCCCGCCACCCGCTTGCTCTACTTCTCTTTCGCCAGTGGATTCAATTCAATTCAATTCCCACAGAGCATCCCACGGCAGCTCCATCCACGTGCCGACTCGACGCTGGCGCCTTCCGCCCACACGGACGGACGGATGGTCCACCTCCTCCCGTTGGCAGGGGCAGGCGGGGCTGGTCGCTGGTCGAACGCACGCGCGCGACGCGCCACCAACGTAAGAGGAGGAAGGGAAGAAAGGCGAGTGCAGCAAAACTGAAGAAACCATTTCACTCTCGTCCCCCACGGCCAGGAGCCGGCGACCGGACCACGGCTAAACCAGCTGAGGTGTGGTCCCAGCGGACACCCAATTACTGGACGTCCGCGGAGACCAAGCGCAGCAACGCGGAAACCCACCCCAACCTGGGCGGAGACCCCGCCCAGCGACCTTCGCCGCTCGCCCCCCCAAGCCGCTACGGTAGCATCAGTCAAGGAACCTATACCTACCTCTGTGTGACGCGGTTCACCGCGGCGGAGTCGCGGAATCGCGGAATCGCGGCACCGCCAAGCGTATCGTTGAGTATCGTATAGTATCCTCCAAGCCCGCGCCGCAGTGGCGGGAGCTGGTTGGCTCGAAGATTAGACCAGGTTCATGACCCGTTTACCACGCAATTTGGCACGCCGCGCGCCGAACCCCCGCGACGCGATGGAAAACCCTTCCACGTCTGAGGGAATACACTACACACGCCACTGGTAGGAGGACTTCATCGACCGAATCTGGACGTTGATAGAGCCATATGCACCCGCGAAGCTTCCTAAGGTAGTAGTAGAGCGAGTATCCGAGGATCCTATTCAATTCAAGGTCGACCATCCGAGGATCCTACTACCGATACCGACCGACCGGTCGGCCCTCCGTTCTCCCAATCGGTAAAAGAGCTGCCAGACAGACCGTCATAAAGCGCCCACACGTGGCCCGCACTCCGCCATCGCTAAACTCAAAAATACCCCCACTCACTCCGCACTGCCCCAGGCCTTCCGCCCACCCGCTCTAGGGGGTCTCCGCATCTCTTCTTCCGTACGCGCGTACAACCCCCCCCCCTCCAGTCCCACCGTGTGCGGCTTTACCATTTCCTGCCCCTGCCTAAAGCCTGGCTATCGATAGAACCCTAGTTTAGTAGCCCCCTTCGGAACTCCAGTCAGATCGTCCTGGGCGGAACCAGTCTGGTTCTCACAGACCATTTTTTTGGTCCTGTGTCCACTCACGACCAGGCCTGGAGAAATGTTCAGCGATTCAGCGATTCAGCGAAGGCCAGGGCCCGCTCGGAGTGGGTTGGACGGATTGGCTCCCGTCTGTGCTTTTTCTTTCTGTCGGTAAGATGGCGGGTTTTGATTGCTGCCCCAGGGGTTGGGCCGTCTGTGCTGTTTTCTTTCTTTCGGTACGTAACTCGGCGGGGTTTTATTGCTGCCCCCCAGGGTTGGGCCCTCTGTGCTGTCCTGATCTGTACCGCACCCAGATGGCCCTGGTACAACCGGACAGGCCCAGCCCGATAAGAATCTCCTCATCTTCGAGTCGTGCAAGTTTGAAAGGGATTAGTTCCCAAGTGACTGGGAACAGTCCTGTGCCACGTGCACCTAACCAATTGCAATGGCTCCCGATTTTCCGTATCCTTTCAGTCCTCTGAACTTTCTGCATTCGCTCTGCTCTGACCTCTCTCTCTCTCTCTCTCNTCTCTCTCTCTCTCTCTCTCTCTCTCTCTCTCTCTCTCTCTCTCTCTCTCTCTCTCTCACACACACACACACACACACACACACACAAACACACAAGAAAAAAGAAACGCACACAGGGTGCAGAGCATGCACCACAAACAGAGAGAACCCCTGTAGTGCAGGGTTTCCTGTGTGTCCTGGCGCTCCTAGGGATGCAATCATTATGAAAAAGGGTGAAGGGCAGAAACATAGCATACCCACATTTGAGAGCACAAACCTAGAGTTGTCAGAATGCACCTGCGCATTTGCAATTCCAGGTGCATATCATGTACTTGGGCCTCTGCACATCCTGGTGCATCCCGACAAGGCTAGCTTTTGATTGGCTAACCTGAGGGCAGTATTCACCTACTTCTCCTCGAAAAGAAAAGGAGGATGTAATCATGCCTCGGTTACATGGTGGAAGGCTATACAGAAACCTTCATAAGGCCGGCGAGTCCCCCATTTTTTTCCCCTTTACAGATCATCCTCGTTATGGCCACTTGTTGTTCCAACGGTTGGAGAAGCCTGTTCCTGCTCGCACACCTGGGCAAGCAGACAAATGGACGGATCAGATGGGTTGTCTGTTGCTTCCATTTTCTGAATCCTTGCTTTCTTTCCTCTGCCCTACAACTTTCATTTGCTGCATGTTTATGCTTGCAGGTCATTGGGTGGACCATCCCAAAGACACCCACTTGCTGCGAGCGGAATCATGGGCCAACATTTTCTCTCTTATACCATAGAACGTATTTGTCAAACCAGAAAAAGAATACCAACTGTAGTTTCCCCCATGACGATCTAAAGACTGCGGAACAAGCTTTTCCGTGACCATCTTTGGATCGAGGTTGAGGAGGATCTGTTTTTGCTGTTGCTTGAATTTGCCGCTTGTTTCAGCACTTTTACAGCATTGTAGGATAAGATAATTGGGAAAGGTGTGTGCCCTTTGTCTTTTTGGATTCTCCTCACATTGCGATTTGTATGACTTTGTCTTCTGCAACTTAGAGAGCCCACAAATTTTTGAATTAGATTCGTTTGCCATGTCGGGAGTGGACGCAGAGAACCGAGGCATCTGGAGCTTTGTTTTGGCTGTATGCCTGATATTTTCCATTACTTCTCTATCTTCTTGAGTTCTTATTGCCCGTGAGCGCCTTCCCCCTGCTTCCTCTTGCATTCACCCTTGCGTATGTGCACCGTTGACTTTCCTTCGTGACCCACCCTCCTTCCTTTTCGTGCTCTTCCCACTTGTCGTTCTCCCTTATGCTCTTCTTCCCTTTCCAACCATTTTTTTTCCCTCCTTCCCATCTCTCTCTTGTTTAATTGCTCCAGCAACCATAGATGGTGGATCTTTGTTTGTAGTCAAGCTACCCCAGCGAGCATGCAAGAGCCCTTGGTGCTCTCTTCACGAACAACCGGTCATATAGATTGGCTAGTTGCATGGCTGGTTGATAGGTCAGGAAGCCCTGACATATTCGTGCTACGTTAAGCAGGGTTTTGGGCGAGTTCCTTGCAACGGATTCTAAGACCGTGCACAAACCTGACCTGGTGACTAGCCCAAGCACGGTAACAAATCAACTGCATGGTTGCATGTACTCGATAAGAGAGTCAAGGGGTTGTTGCCAACACACCGAAGCCTCTTATCATTAAAGACACTCTGCTGTGGAGGTTGGTCAAGGAGCGCAATCACATCCATGATTACTTTTAGCGCTACGAGGTTAACCACTTAGCTCGTGTGTCAGCCGACACTTGAGTGGTGAATGTGACCGTCAAAACCATTGAGGGCCGCGTGGTCATGGAACCACATAATATGCCGTCATATTGAGCGCTCATACTCTTATACATGACAAAGTTGTTAGTAATTCGAGGACGCTAACGTCACCACACCAAACTAGTTACGGAACAGATGAAAAAAATACTAGGCAAGCGAGAAAGGGTTGGTGAGCTATATTTATAAAGTTAAGTCACGTGGTTGGTTTTAATGTCATAGTGACCGACATTGGATCTCACACGAGAGATCCAGGCCTCGAGCGACCATTCCCGCATGGGTTCGATCCGGACATTAATCGCACGTACCCCCTATGCTACAACATACGAAAACGCCCTTGGTTGATCCAGCTCTGCGACTGCAAGCAAAAACCCTCGGACACGGGTTGGTAGCTCGACGGGGATACACTTACCTAGGGATGGTGACAACTCTCATGGGTGGAGATAGGTTCTACCTTGCGGGATTCTATCATGTGTAGGAGTTCGTAAGAGGTATAGCTGGCGCACATGGACGGAGCGACAATGCTCCATGACGTCTTGCGTCTGCGAGTTCTGCATGACGCGGCCAGGAGGGTCCCCAACCGGGACCGATACGCTCGACATCATATTTACCCTGAAAGGAAATATTTTTGCAATCTCCATCATCCTCTTTGAGGAAGTACCAGTACTGAGGCAAAGTCATCGGCGGAGCAAGTTAGGAGTGGGGTGTCAAAATCTCCATATCCTGAATCACATGCCCAAATAAAAGTATTGATATGGGTAAAGGAGTGATTTACTTCTTCCACCAGGGACAGTTCATGAGGGAAAAAATCATCATATTGACGAAACCACCGGCGTGGTCGACAATATAAGAAACACAATTGAGAAACTCAATCTTCTGGTATAGCCTGCAAAATAGAGACCAATCGCAAACACCGGTGTGGCAAATATAAAAAGGTAGTGCAAAACTCCTCCATTGCATTTCATGCCTTTCTTTGGTAGTCTCAGAGGTGTCGAACAAGAAAAACACCCCGTTCCATCAATTGCCTCCCCAAAGCACCCCGAACACCCTACAATGAGAAAGAAAGACCATTATCGATAATTATGAATGAATTGTTGAAAAAGGGTTGTGGTAAAATATGTGAGTACAAGCTTTAAGTGGGAGGGGAACAAATAAAATTCCACCTTGCATCAAATCTTCAAAATCTTGGACCAGGTGGAATGGATCTGAATCTGAACTGGCAAGGCTAGGTGCATCAAGGTTGTCCAAGCTACAT